CCTCGCCTCCTCCAGCCACCTGTGCTTGCGTGCTCAGAGAAAACACTGGCTTTTGTCTTGGAATGAGACGTCCGCACAGCAGGGGCAAAGGTACATTAGGGGGCTATGACAGGTGGCATGCGCTTCCTGCCCCGCAGTAAAGAGCAGGACTGCGGTGGGACCTCTGGTGAAACAGCTGCACTACGCTGTCATGTAGGTGGGAGAAAGTCTAGTTCCTGACAAAGACGTCAAGGGAAAAGGAGCAGAGCTGCAGCTGAACGTTTGATTAAAGAGAGATTTCTATGGAGGCCTGTTTGTACTGAAGTGGTGTGGACTTTTGCGTAGCTGCACGTTTTTTAATAAAATCCCAGAAGCTGAAACAGACAGTGGTTTGGTGAAGATGGGGCAGAAGGGGCAGGGGCTGGTGGGCCTGGGTGGTGATGTGATGTGAATTCTCAGGTTCGTGTGAAGGTGGACAGAGGAAGGTTCTGAGTCATTCCCTCAGTCTTCAGCATGAACTCACCTTCTCCTCCACACAACACAGGCTGAAGTGTAAGTAGAGAATCTTTATCAACTCGTTTTGGATCTGATTGTAAATTAACAGGGAAAACAATGACTTTATATACTTTGTCCATTTAAAAATAAAAGGCTAAAAAGTTTGCACTTGGATGAGACTGTTAGAATTACAATTTTATGTAATAGGTTCTTATGCCAGAAACCATTTAAGTATTAACTAATTACAGTGTGCATTAATTTGTCCTCTTTAAACATCAGTTTAGGGAGGAGGGTTTTTTTAAATGCACTCTTTTCTTTTGTCTGGCCTTGCTATAATTCTAAATTTGAGGCTTAAAACTTTAAGTATTTTGCTAATTTATTGTGTTTTGCAACTCTAGAAAAGATTGTTTGCAGTCAGTGACCAGTTCCCATGTGTGGTTCAGATAAACACAGATACAGTTTTTATTACAGAAGTTGCTGGGTGGCCTGTGTGGCACCATGACGTTGGTACGAAGTGAGGTTGGACCCAGGTGTCACATTCCACAGTTTGGTGTCTGTGTGTGTGTTTGGGTGAAGGAGGGACTTACACAATAAATAGTTTGGGTTTTTTTTTTTTATTTTGAATGAATTTCTCCATGTTAGTGTTTGTGGACCAGAAATGAACAGCTGCTCTGGGGAAAATGCTGTTAAATTCTTTAAAATCTTTAAAATGTAGTTGATACAACAGTAACTTTTCTTCTCACTCTCTCAAGTTAAAGTAGAGCTGCAGGAGTAATTTATTTTAAAAAGAAAGTGTTTAAAAGGCCAGGGAAAATTTAAGATTTTTTTAAAAAGAAATATTTCCTGTGTAGTGTAGTGTAGTAACCATTCCAGAACAGAGATGTCCATCCATGGACTGGATGTTGAGTGTTATCCGGTGTGTGTCAGTGTTGTTGTTGTTGTTGTGTGTACGATCACTCAGTCTTTATCCAAACAACAACTTTAACCGTCCTTCCCCTAAATCGTCCTATTTTTGTGTCTGTGCTCAGATTGGATGATTAAGAATTATGAAAGTGCGTCTCTCTCTTGTCATCTGACTTAATTTGTTCCCATGATAGTTTTATCAGATCTCAGGCCTCCTCTGGGACCGGCCTGTCTGTTTTTGTTTTTTCACAAGATCACATAAATAATGTTTACCAGAAGTCAGCATAAATAAGACTATTTTAAACCTGGTTCATGAAAAAACAACAACAAAAAACAGGAACGTTTGAGGAAACGTTTATAGTGTTTTTTCGCTTGACTGCAAAAACCTACGGTTCATCAAACCCCATGAAGTCCACTGGTTGATTTATTGAGCTGCTGTTACACTACAGGTCATCAGGGAAATAAACGAGACAGAATTTATCATTTAATAAATAAATAAATAATATTAAGGTCAGAACAAGAGTCGATCTCAAATCAGTTTTTACAAAACGATACAAGGAATTTCATTTGTGTAACGTCACCTTTTTTTAAGTTTAGGCTTCAATAAATATGCAATTAACTGGACTTCCACACTTGCAGTAAGGTTTTGTAAAAAGTATTTTCTTTAATCTGCTCCAAAACTCCCATGTGAATCCCATTTTGTACTATGTTTTTGCAAGTGGTATTCTGCTCTTTTTTACCCAAGCAACACTGCACTGTATCTTATTTGCACAATAGCTCACACAAGTTCATAAAAGCAAATTGACAGCAGTCAGAAGTCTGGGTCGAACAGCACAGAGTCTGTTTATTATTCAGAGCCTGCAGCCCTGAATACCGTATTACTGTTCTCTCTTTGTGATCCTACATGAAAGAGACTGTGTTATGACGGTTGCTGAAGTATTGTAACCCTATTGAAGTATGACATGTGGTAACAGGTACCAAGTCATGTCTTATATAAACATTCAAAGGTATTAAAATACTGGGGTTTTAGTCAAAGATCCACAGATGTACTACTATCTCCTCACATTCTTCTCTATTCTACATAAATCACCACAATCAGTGCAATTCATTCAATTACTGTTATTTAATAGAACAACTGACAGTCTCTTGACCAGCTTCACTAATACAGCACACACTGACTTTCAACTACAACTGTACCACGCTGTCTGTCAGTCCCTCTCTCTCTCTCCACCTGTCTCTCTCTCTGTCTCTCTGTCTCTCTCTACCCTTTCATATATGTACAGTATATACGACAGTGTATATGTATAACTTTAAAACTTTAAAAAGTCTGCAGATGTGGAACCTTTTCTTGACTTCAGTTCTTCAGTTTGATTCATATTTGATTCTCATGCGTAGCCAGTTCACTCAATCAAATAAGTAAGAATTAAAAAGAAGGAAAAAGAGGGAAAAAAGGGTGGAGGAATCCCAAAAAAGAAAAACATTCTGCCATACTTCCAGTGAAGCCAGACTGGTGGAAAAGGCAAAGGCAGGAAAAATTATAGGGTCAGTCTAGGTCCAAACAGTGAGAGCCGGAGAGGGAGGAAGAGTGTATATTTGCGTAGTGTATATGTGAGGTATGTGTGTGTGTGTGTGTGTGTGTGTGTGTTTATAAAGCAGATTATATATATGTGGTAGATGTGTACATGGGAATAAATATAGAACGGCTTTATACATAGCAACGCGTGCAGCCAGTGATTGTGATTTTCAGCTCTCGGTTACTGAATGGCCTCGGCGTCTTTTGGGGCTTCCCAGAAATGTCCGACATCAAAGTGTGCGTTTGTTTCTTCCAGTGTTCCTGTCAACGTGTGGGTGTGTTTGTGCCCCTGCAGACAGTCACACTGTGTCTTTCAGATAACCACTTTCGGTGACGTCCAACAATAGTCCAGCTCCCGTCCCTGTGTCTCTAAATTAGACCCAACCTGATTACACCGTCCTCAGTGTCTGCTCTGTTAATACCAGCTGTCCTAATGGGATCATCACATTTTCACACAAGGCCTTCATTCTCACCGGGAATGCAGCATTCCTCCAGTTAATGTACCCTCCCCTTGTGTTTTTGTGCATCGCTGAGAGAGAGTTTTCTCACATGTCTGGTCGGATGTGATCATCATTTTATACAGTTTGGATCCCTTGGAAAATTCCATTCATTTAAGCAAAGAATTTTGGAGCATGTTATCTTAATTTAAGGAGGTACTGTGAAAACAGCAGAGTTCCGTCTATGAGAAATACAAGTCTTTTGACAAATAGATGTCTAATTGAAACCCTTGTAGCTTTTTGTGTATAAAATAAATATACATATACATATATATATATAAAGTTTTAAATACTCACATTACCTTCCATATTTTAAATCAATATCACCTGTGTTTGAAAAAGAAAGGGAGAGACGTACAACTCAAAGAACACTGAACCCCAGGAGTCCAACATTGAGATGATCTAAAATCCTGTGTCAATTCTTCACTAAATATGTCCCTGGAAATGTCATCAGTAGAGACAAAACTATTTAAGGACATGAGATAGTGAAGTAAAAGTGTAACCTGAATTTTTGGAGTTTTCTCAGTGGTGTGAACAGAAGACCATGGTCATTGACAGACACTCATTCTTGGAAAGTCTGAGAGATTTGCAGTGAGAGAAATGGCAGGGATACCTTGGAAGTCTTGAAACTTAAATTTGCTGAAAACTAAGGACTAATTTTTTTGTGATAATTTTGTTTGTGCATGCAAGGACAGACTTATGTTAATGCTGCAGGCATAAGTGGCACAGATCTGATTTATTAAATCTTATTTATTTAAATAATATTTAGTTTTAAATATGCCAATATTTTTCAGAGTGACATTTCCCTCACAGCTGCTTTGAGGAGGTTCTCCATTCAATGGCAAAGTGATCAAATCAAGTTACTTGATTGCAGACTTTTTAAAACTTTTTTTCCTATTTACTTTTGTAATAAAAAAAACAAAACAGTGTAATGTCATGTCTTCTGCTCACGAGTTCGACGCAGTGTAATGTCATGTCTTCTGCTCACGTGGGGCTGCTGAACGTTCACAGTAAGAGTTCGACCGCGGTCACATTTTAAACTATGATGTGAACGAACAAAAATCCTAAATTGAGCAACAAGTCGTGAACTCTGAACGTAACCACAGTGTGTTCACAAAAACTGTAGTTAAAGTTCCATGCATGTTACAGCAGCACTTAAGAAATGTTTAATCCTAATAGTGTTGCATCAGTGTCGCCCTCCCCTGTGAGACAAGATGTTTCAGACACATATGTCAGTAAGTGTTATTTAAAGCTGCAGATTTTCCCCTGACTATATTTTAGGGAAACGTCATAGCAGAGAGAGACCTGAGCCATGGTCCTTTGCTGATGTCTTCCTTTCTATTTTCCCTTTGAAAAGCAGCAGAATAAGCTGAAACCTTAGTCCATTTGTATTGTCAGGACAAAGAGAGACCATTGTAGCAACAGGGGTGGAGGGGAGATGCCGGTGGAGGTAGGGGAGCTGGGGTCAGGAAGGCCACAGAGAGGATTTAGAGTCCGACCCCTACTGGGGTGGAGTGTTGGGACTCTGGGCAGTGGGGGTGTGCGAGTAAGGTAGTGTTTGTGTGTGTGCGTGCATGTGTGTGTGTGTTTTTTTTCTGAATGATGAGTGTGAAGTTGCAGCAGTGTGCATTTATCCAACTGGAATAGGCTTCAGTAGCAGCAGCAGGGCGGGGGAGGTCATGCTGTAGGGAGGAGGCAGGATGAGTGACGGGGGAGCCAGCACTCTGCCTCTCTCACGCTCCGACAGGAGTTTAGTCTGCTCCAGCTGCCGACAGCAAAACACAGTGAGGGATCCAGAGAGGGAGAGAGGGAGAGAGGGGAGGGAAATGGCTCTGGACCTGTTGATATCACAGCTATGACCTACAACACCAACATCACACACTGGATTCTTCCTGTGCTGGGAGTTAAGGATGCTTTTCTGAGGATTTCTGTTGTTTTTCTGGGTCTGTTTTTTCTAAATGCTGTCGCTTGGTAAAATGCACTCCAGAACAAAGTCCCGGAGTTGTGACAACTACCTGAGTATCAAGGTATGAAAACCTTCATTACTGAAACACGTTTTGTCAAATTTGTCAAAGTCTTCTTTCCTGAGCGATCAAAGGCCGAGTGTTTTCCCTCATCTCGTCTGTGTTGACTGGTAACCTGGCTTCTTGGAAAAGATTGATGTTTTTAATGTCTGGACTTGTAGACACCTGATATTTTGACTTGGTCGGCAGTCAAAACATCACAGACATCACATGCATTTGAAGAGAAGGAGGAAAAATATGTACACACACACACACACATCATGGGGTTAGTCAGTACTAGTGTTTGTTTTTAACATGAACAAAACATTTCACTATGTGTGTCACAGCTTTACATGGATTGTATGAAAATCTATATAAATCTATATGTGACCAAAAAATGTTATCATAAAAAGGTAAAATAGTAATAGTTTTTTATCCTTTTGTAAAGATTTTCAATATAAAAATCACTCATGGCCGACATGAAATAGTCATAAATCTCATTTGTGTTAAAACAGGTGAGCTGCTTTATCACCCCCTGATTTCTACTGTTGTTCTTCCCACAGAGTTAAAGTTTGTCTTGGGAGATAACATTTAGTAAAGTATGGCTTTACGGTGCTATTCTAACACTGTACATACACACCGTCGAAGAGTGTGTTTATTTTCTACGTTTGCACCTGCAAAGTAGCAGAATGTCAGGCAAAATGCTGAAAATTTTGAAAAAATATATCTTGAGAATGTCATTTTTTTCAACAATCCCTTTAAATATTTACAGGTTTCCATATCTTACGCAACCAGAACAGATTATCCTATATCCTGTAACAAACCATATAGTTGCAATAGTACAACTGTTAGCTTTGCTGGTTAAGGCTTAAAATATTCAGTTGAGGCTAAAGTCAGCCTTACATAACTACAAATTAGCTGAATAAAAGGTAATGCTAAACAAAGCTGCTTCAAATTCGGTGGTACTGTAGCTACAAATTAGCATGTGGAAAAAGATAACCTAGTAGGCCTAACTTGGTTTTAAGAAATGGCTACTTAAATTCAGCAACGCAAGAAGGTCAGAAACTAATACAGATAAGAAAAAGGTCTGTCTCAGTCACACAATAGCCTAAAGTAAGTCCACTAATAAAACAGAAGTTATAGCATTTGATTTAGACGTCCATATAACATCTTTATCAGGGAACATGTTGTCCAAATACTACTATTAAATTCTATCAATACTATCAGTACATACAGTATGCAGGCATGTGTTTCAGGATTTACACAGTATGTCTTGTACTCCATGATCAGTTCAAGTAAATTTAATCCGACAGACAAATATTTGGCTTCAACAAGTTGCCATAGTTGATCACCTTTGTCTTTCTGTAACTCATACCTGCTACGGATGTTGCCAAAAATACTTGGAGTCACGAGCACTGTGTGCAGATCTTTTCCCTGACTTCATATCCATGCTCCCCTCATAAGCTTGGATTTCCAGCAGTTACAGATCAAACAGAGTCAAACTGCGGGCCCTGCACTGAGCTCTCAGTGTGTTCCTTTGTTGACGTCCTGGCACCTGGCAGCAGGGCAGGTCTGAGCAACCTGTTGGCTTTGTTAGCCTGCTGTCTTTGAGGCTGTTAGCAGCTTGGTTAGCGAGCTGTCTGTGTTGGGGGCTCTCCTGTTACACTCCCCTGGTGGCTTCATGCTCCACTGGAGGCCAGGTAGTCAGCGCCTTTTGTGTCTGTGACCCATTAAATGTGTCAGCGACCACCTCCACTTTACTTCTCTTCTCCTTTCATATGTTTCAGAATTTACTCTTGGTTCACTGTTGGCATTTTCACACAAACACAAGCCAAGTGTTTTAGTGATAGAACACAAATAAAAAACACACGTATTAATCACAGTCTTTGTAATAAGGTAATCTGAGAAATCACATTTTAAGGAACTAATTTAAACCAATTGGCATTTTTTTAAAATTCAGAATTATTTGTCAGGATAACTTTAGTCACCACACATTCTTTGCCTTCATCAACAAGTTCATCCATCCAAGTTTGAATTCCATCTTCCGTTCTTCTACATCTAACTTGACGAACCTACTGATAATCTCCTGAATGTACAATGTATGTATGAACTAAATGATTCCAAGATAATTTATACGTAGAACTGAATATGTGTGGCCCAGTGTCCGCCACGTTTTCAAAAGTTTTATCATTATATCTGAAAGGTGTTGAGCCGTGTGATTTATTTGATCAGGAACCCTTAAAAAATACACATGTAAAATCAGAGCAAACTCGTCTTTTTGTTAATTCGAGTGTTGATCTAGCTACGTCTGAATGTTTTTTCCTGCAATTTCCCAAACTGAAAGAACATTTGAAATGAAATCACCCCAAAAAAACCCAAACAAACAATTCTCTGGTTGCAGTGTTTAGACTTGGAAAGTAAGAGTAAGAAATTGAGTACATTTTGATTTCTTTTTGTAATTTCTCATAAAACATTTTCATTACCTAAAGTAAAACTACTTCTTGCATCCTTAACCAACTTTTATGCGGAGTTAGTCTAGCCGGATGTGAAAGGGCTACTGGATGCAGTGGGTGGAGACACCACCCACCTACCCATGTGTTTAGCCTACTTACCTGGCTTGTACGGCTCTGTAACAGCTGGTTGTGTCCCACCTGCAGCTTGGAGTCATTCATTATGGCCTCTGTCCTCCATCACTGCTGCGCACAAAGACACAGCGTTAGAAAACGTGGGACTTTCCTCTTCATTCCTGTAGTCACCGAGGCTGTGAGTGCAGACAAACATACAGAGCGCTGAGGTCTCGGCCCAGTGACTCTGCTGAGACATGTATGTCTCTATGTCCACATGTCTCTAACTTTCCTGGTGACATTCTTCAGGACTCTCCAAATGTTTTTAGACAATAAAGGCTTTTACATATTCAGCCCCAGGTGTCATATATCTAGAGTGATGATGTAATATGTTCTCATTAATCTAAATGTTCAATCAACATGATGCAACTGTTAGTCAGATTTGTGTGTTTAACTAATCTAGAAGACAAGCACAGCCACGGTCTGTAAGACAGGTTAAATAACTTCTTTTTTTTTTAATGATTAAGCAGCTTAAATATTTGCTATGTTGAGCACATTTTCTGTTAAAAACACTGCTCCAGTCACTGCCACTGTTTATATCCAGCTTGGGAACCTGAAAAGAAACTTGTCTAACCATGCAGAGAGGGCTTTCCTCCCATTGTTAGCTTTCCACCAGTAAAACTTGGTGTTATTCTTCTCCTGCCGCTGCACAAGTGACTAATGCCCAGAGACATTTTTTTTGTGTCGCTAAAAGCAGCCTGACTGCTAATGGTGGTGGGCGTTTTGTTTCAGGGCATCAATACTGTACAGCACATAGCACTTAGAGAGGCGGAGTGCACAATGAGGGCCTTGTAGTGGAGCGATGGCATGTGTACCAATGCTCTAAATTGTACTCACTCTCCTCTAATTGATGGTCCTGAGCTCCGTAGATCAACAAGACAGATCCTAGAGTAGGGCCAAGCACGGGATCTTGCCAGGCTTAATTATCGCAGCACGGTCTTGTTTGTTACACAATTTCTACAATAAAGTGCACACATCTAAGCAAAAGTTGCTAAACAGGCAGCCTCTGTGTCTACATAAGTGGACCTCAAGCGGTGGCCTGTGGTCCACATGTGGCCTGTGAGCCTCCTATTTGCGGGGAATGAGCTAGACATGTGAAATGAGGCTGTTCTTCTATAGTTAACGCATGTAAACAGACTGCTGTGGCTGTTCCAACAATGGCTTTAAGCAAAACGGCACTGTATTACTTTCACTTTTGAAGCAATGCGCTAATCGATACTTAGCTAGCAGTAAGAGCATAAATTGACCTTGATCCTTTGTGTCTATACTACTGAAGAAAATGTTTCTTTAACCGTCCTGGTTAAGAATCTTTGCAGAGGTTTTTTTTTATTTATGTCAAAGTGGAAATGAAAAGACATTTTTATTGTTTTTGTGATTTTGGAATATGGCAATATTATGGCTTGTGGCCTGACCGTGGCACCTCTAAGATTTGTATTTGAGTACCCCTCTAAATGATAGTGTTGACATAGTGTGGGAGTTTTTCTGACATCACTATCAGTCTGTGTGGTTATCATCGGAGTCAAATGTCTTTATTCCACTGTTGTGTTCCACTCAAAAAGGACAGATAGCGGGGGCGATGTGTGTCCTTGGCTCTCACCGCTGAGAGGAAAGTCACAAACTGGTAACATACCCACAGGGTCATCTTGAACCAGAACCTCTCTATTGAATAGTGTCAATTATGGACAAGTTTTAACAGTTAAGTCGTTGTTTAAGTCATCTGTTGTGATTTGGACCGCTGTGGTCGACGTGTCATGGAGGGGGGTCAGATAATGGACAGTGTTCACATGGTTGTTATTAGAAGCTAACATCACACTGTCCTGGAGTTCACTGTGAACTTTCCAGTTCAACTGTTTGTGTCCGCTGATGGTGACGTCACTGTGACCAGGTGTTTCCCTTCACTAATGGAAAGACATCACAACTGATGTGTCGTGTTTCCTGACATGCCAAAATTCCCCGACTGTCTGGCTAAATACAGGCAGTCGCTACAAATCACATGACTGAAAAATTGTTTGTTTCCAGATCAGTTAAGGTACAACATGCCAATGTGTGTACATTTGTACATAGTTCAAGTTCAGGGTTCACTGTGATACGAAGAGTAGAGTAATTTGTCCCTAAAGTGGACATTAAATAAAAAAATATATCTTATTTAATATTAACATTTGTTATTTGTATATGTTTTTGTCAGGGTATATTTATTCTTTTTTTCTTTCTTTTTTGCCCAACTTACATGATTGTTATTGTAGCCAACGTTTTGCAGTTTTGTTTCTGGGTGAAAGTCTAGTAACCTTACTTATTCCAATTTATTCTGAACTGTCTTGATTTACAGGCATTTCAAATGATTCCATACTATGCGGAATAAGAAAGATGCCACAAATTGGGAACAGCATTTGGTGCGTGGAACTTGACAAAAGAAAAATCAAAGAGCAAGTTTAATTCAATAGACAGCACTTTATTAAGTTTTAAAGGCTTTCTTCTTTGTTCATAAATATTTCAAGAAGCCAAACCAAATCCCTGTGTTGTCATATGCTGTCGTGCTTTGTTGTATTTAAAAAACAAACAAACAAAAGTGTGTCTCTGTGTCTTTCTCATCTTTGTTAACAAAACCCATTGACTGCACCAAGGGCAAGATTAAACACGTCCATCTTGAATTGTCTCCTTGTCCCTTCAGGACGCTGAGTCGTTGGACAACTGCATCCAGAGCACCTTGTCAGCCCTGTACCGCCCCTTCACTGCTACGGCTGCCACTGTCCTCTGGCAGCTCTTCAGTGTGGTGGAGCGGCAGTATCGTGGAGACGGCCTCCGCTGCCTCATCGACTTCTTGCTTCCTGCCAAAAGGATTCTGCAGATCATCCAACAAGAGACCTGCGTGAGTAGCTGCCACTGCTGACATTATACTGAAAGTTATGGGATGAAACCTGAGAATGCTTTCTTAGATTTGTTTTTGAATTCCTTCCGAGGTTTGACCTGGCCCCAGATTTACCTGCTACTAACTTTAGCAATTTCCCACTGATCTGTTGGCTGTGTTAGACTCAGATGAAAGAACGAGAAAACAAAAAGCAATAAAAACACCAGCAAAAACCTTGTTCTCAGGGTTGTTTCCCATAGGCCTGTGGTGTGGCAAAAGAATTCATTTGAAAGACATAAAAATAACAGCTGCTGTGATAAGAAGAAATGTTTTTTATTTGATAAAAGAATTTGAAGCAGCATTGGAGAGTGAGAATATTCTTTGCTGAGTGGGAAGGAGGAGCAGCCAACAGAGACAGAGCTGATAATTGTTCTAAAAACACGCTGTAAAGTAGCCATCGCTGTCTGAAGAGGGACGCGGAGAGTAACTGTGGTCTGTGTGAGACACTGCTGTGGACATTTGTGTCCCATGTGAAACTCAATATTTGCTTCCAGAAGCTTTGATTGCTGCAGGTTAGGACTCTGACCAAAGCAGTGAAACTTTATTCCGGAGTATTCATCCCACTGTTGAATACACTGAGGATAGCCATAAAGCAACAGTGTCAGCTAAGCCTAGCCTCTGAGAACAAACTGCTGTGCAGCAAGTCTTTGTATTGCAGGCAATACGAGAGGCTTCAGAGGAAGATCACATCCTCCTTCGCCTCAACATTCATGGGAAAAATCAAAAATACCATCCCTTGAGCGCCATGTCCTTCCTACATGTTTGTGTCTTTATTTATGCTGTGACTCCAAAGAGTTGTTGCTGTAAAACAAGGGCTGAACAAACAGGTTTTCCTCTTCAGACTAGTCGCTGACAGGGATTGATTTTTTTTTTTTTTGGTCTTTGATTGTCACATGGTGAACATATGAAGTCTGCAGTTGTCTCAAATGAAATCAAGGTTACTGGCTGAATCTAGAAATACATTGCATTTATTGAAAATAAGGACTAGCACATTTCCTGTTGAACTGTCCCTTTAAATAGCTAAAAGTATAATATTCAAATATTTAATTAAAAGGGTCGACACAAAAAACAACATTACAGTGCTGTTCTCCACAATACTAATTTATGAGTAATGAGTAAGAATATGAAATATATTGCAACATAAATACTATTCAGTTTAAATTAAATACATGTAATACATAAAAACTAAAGGAGACTGTCTTGTCCTTTTCTTCTCTTTTCTCAGGTAAAATTCCGAGGCTTGTTGTTCTGTCATGAGGGCTGGCCTCTCTGCATTCATGAGAAAGTCATTCTGCAGCTCGCTCCTCTGCACAAAGTCCGTTTGAAACAAGGAGACTTCTACTTCCAGATTGTTCCATTAGGGCGGAAGACTGCCAAGCTTGTGATAAAATGTTTGTCCTCCAGTGGACAGGCCATTGCAGAAATCCCCATTGCGGAAAGCATGTACGGCAGCGTGTTCACGGCTGAGTTTCTGCAGAATGTAACACGCGAGCGGAACTTGCACCCACTACAAAACTGTCTGCTCACCACTGGGACCTCTGTGTACCGGACCCCCTGGAAGAACGTGGTCAACCCTCTGTTTGTCAGCAATACGTCGGACGCCATCATGCAGGCACGGTGCAGCGGAAGCGCCTTCCGGGGCCACCTTAGCACCTGCAGCACAAGCGGGTCCACAGGGACGTTGGACAGCCATCGCAGCTCCAAAGAGTCTTTGCACTCTCAGGGAGCAGACTCCATTTTTTCTGAAACCACCTCACCGAACACGGACCACACAGACCTGAACAACAGCACAGTGGACCCTGTGACACCCATTGTTAATGTAGAGAAACCCGCTGACCCATGTGGGATGGGACAGGGTCGTGAGGACAGTGACTGCAAAGACAGTGCCTCAGTGTCCAAGATGCTCTCCTTCAGCACACACCTTAGTAACCCAAGCCCCCGGCGACGGCATTCGAGGGACTCTGCTGCCTTTGAGAGCAGGAGACTTTTTAGAAAATCTTACATGGAGGCTTTACAGAACCCCATGAGCCTTGAGTCCAGCTCTGAGTCTATCCTGGAGGAAACATCTGAGCACAATTCTGTACTGAGAGAGAGAACTGTGACAACTGGTAGCAGCCCAGAAACTCGATCGCCGACCACCTCTTCTTCTTCCAGAGAACATTTATCACGAAGGTTGGGAAGCCGGGGCTGGCTCAGTGGTGACGACTCCAGGCCCAGCACACCTTTGCTTTATTTACAGAGAGGGTTACGAAGTGCAGAAAGGAGAGCAGAAAGACGCTCAAAATCACTTGAGAGGACTAACAAGGCTGGTCAGGTCAAAGGCCACAGGGAACGATCCTCCTCTGGAGGCTCGGCAAACATATCACCCAAAAAACTGATGAATGGATACGCTCTTCGTTTTGGGAGGCTGGATGTGGAAGCACTTTTTCCTGGTTCTGAAAGGAGAAGCAACAAAGAGGAGTCAGGTGTGTATGATTTGTTTAATGAAACTTTTTGGGTGAACGTAGTTGTAGCATAACAGCCATAGTTAGCCTACTCTTTCAATTAGTAGCCACAGCAGTAGTTTGTTTAGTAATTTCCATGGAGACAAATCTGTTATGGAAATTTGGGCTATACAAATAAAACTGACTTGACTTGATATTATAATAGTATTTTATAGGATTATTTTTGTCATATCGAGGAATTTTGGGAATCGGGGGGAAAACTCTATAATAATAATTGGACAGCCCTATTTATCAAGTGTGTAATAGTACATTGCGTTACAGAACCTTACCAGTTGACAGGTTTTGTCTTTCGTCGACTGAATCATCAGTCCGCAGCTCATCATCTATCACTTATCAGATAGTACAGCCGGAGGCTGTGAGAACCAAGTTTCACTCTTTAATCACTGGATAATAGTGGTTTTCTCACCAGGGCGTGTATTCATACCCTGCAGCAGGACCAGTTACAACAGTTCACATGTGGTGGCTGGAGCTGAAGATTTCAGCGAGGCAGGTCTGCTCTCTGCAGCATTAAACCAACTGTCAAGTGCTTTTCAGAGCCCACGCTGTGTATTTTGGCCTGTTCAGAGGGCAGGTATCGCTCCAGCCCTGGAAACATATCATTTAGTCACAGTGCTGTGTTTTCTTTACCACTCTCTGTCTGTTTGCTTTTCTGTTGCTTCAAATTGGGCAGCCATGTGAGGATATCACCAAGGGGATAATTCTGATGTTTCTGTAGAAGCTTTTTCTGGGAATTGAAAAAAAAAATCTTTTTAGTGTTAGATCACAGTTTCTGGGAGGAAAAGAGTTGTATACACTAATATTTTTGAATATTCTGTTACAGACTCACACTAATTTTGATCAGTACAGTAGTAAAGTCACACCGTGACCTCAGAGTGAGCTTATGTTTCAAATGTAGAGAAGCAGGTTTTCCCAGAACAACATTTCAAAGACAACAAAAGGGTCCTGTAAACTGACCACAGGGACCCCCACGTCCAGAATGAGATGACCCTACAGTGTTATTGGGGTTGGGGGTTGTGTTGATCCCAGATGGGTTGCTTCATTTACAAAAGTTTCCTTTGTGAACCAATCAGCCACTGGGGATTGACAGCAGAAAGCTTCTCAAACTGTGCCTGTGTCCTTAGAGTCCTTTCACTGCAGTAACACGAGACTTAACTTGCACTGACTGACACTAGTCCTGCAAAAAATACTACACAGGGGTCGAATTACACGCAGAATGAAGCAACACTGTCTCAGTTTCAAAAGCATACAGTTTACCGTTGACGTATTTATTTCATCAGTAAAGTTAGGAGTTAAAATGTGTCCATCAGAGGAGCTCGCATGCAAAAGGACAGACTTTCACACAGGACAATACTCAGGAGGCTTTTATCACTTCCTGTGAAAACAAAGCAATTTAGGAAACATGCAGCAAACATACAGGCCCGAGCCAGAGTCGCACAGGAAATGCACTGTGGACTGTTTAAAGACAATGGAGGGCGAGCGCGAGGGGTTTACTGTCACAGAACAGAACAGAGCAGAGCAAGAGGCCTCAGACTGAAAAGACAACACACCACAGGTGTCCATCACACACACAAACCACAGAGCAGCAGTTAAGGCTGTTGACATGTGCTTCACCCTCTTGATAGTTTCACCGTTGGTTGAGGAGATCTGCTACCTGGGCACATGAACACAAACTCAGTTACAGGTTTTATATTTCAACACCATATCAGTACCAGAAGTGTCGTAGTTTGTGTCAGTACTGTGATTAGCCTAATGAAAAAAAAAATGTATTGAATTAATTTCCTTACCCTCTATATGGTCAGATTTAGAGGCTGTGTCACTGCCTCGAACACAGGTTTGAGCGAGTAAAAAAAAAAACAATTGCACATCTCATGAAGATCAAGATCAGCATTCCTGTCAACAAAGCCTTGAGCTATAAGAGCTGAAGGAGGTGGTTGGGAGGACGTGAGTATGTAATCACAGCAAATTTAGCCATGACTCAGTCTGACTAAACACCTGGTCTGAGGGTGAGTCAGTATGGACTCACCACCATCACACACCTTCATAGGTGCTGTAAACACCTGTTTCCTTGGGAAGAAAAGACCAAAGTGAAAGGAAACGCTTCAGTTCAAGTGTTCTTGATGCTGTTTCACTGTTTTGTTCACTTTCTTCTACAGTCTGATTTTCTCATTTTCTCCACAGGCCAGCGGGATAGCAGCAACAGCAGTGAGAGCAGGTCGCTCAGATCAGGTGGAGAAGAGTCAAACAGTCCTAAAGCCACCAACGGAACTTCAATCAGACCGGCTTCAGTTTCCACCTCTGTGTGTGATGGTAAACCAGTGTTCCCCAAACTCGTGTCAGAGGTCAATCAAGAGCTGCTCACATCAGGAGCTGTGATCCTGCCAGGTACAGAACAAACACTGATTTTCACATCAACCCATCAGGGTCCTATCTACTGTGGGTTTCATAAATATTGGTCTTTTTTTTTGTCGTGTTATAAATGAGTCTCCATGCAGTAAATCTTTCATTTTTTACTTTAGCTCCTTGAAGATGTATTTTTTATTATAATTTGAAAACACCAATGAACTGTTTAGCAACATATTATATCTTATAATTCTCAATCCTTATATATACATGTATATATATTTTAAAAATCCTCAATGAAATTGCACAGATAAATAAAATATTAAAGTTTAAATAAATTTGCCTTACTTTGCATCTGCTATACCTCCAGGAGGCACTGCTCCCCACTTTGAAAACCAGCACAAGTTTTAAAAAGGAGGTCACCGGATATACAGTTCAGACATTGCAAACTAGACCAAACACTTGCACCGGTTCAGGTGGTGATGAGGTGGGGGTGCATCTGTGTGTGTTGACCCTTATTGTGACTCTTCCAGGAAACAGAGATCGCAGTGGGAGGGCGGTGCTGCAGGTGTGCACCAGAGCACAGGTGTGGGCAGGTGACAGTTGTACAGTCAGTGACCTCACCTGTTTACTGGGCTACTACTACTCCACACTGAGGTAAGTCACTCACTCACAGGACTCCTGTTCTGTCTGACTTATTAATAATAACCTCGATTACTTTCACTGCCCTCAATAATATCGACTGTTTTTTCATGGGTGACTTTGACCTTTCTCTGAATGTTGTTGATTTGAGTTGTGAGATAAGGCGACATATCCAGTCAGATGCTCATTATTGATGACTGTGAATCTGTGCCTCAGATTTTCAGTTGTCCTCCATTGTCCGGTTCTTCTTAAACACTACATGGAGTCAATTGTTTGACAAAGACTAACGTTGATATTTTTGGTTTCAGGAAGGAAAGACAGGATCAGGGTCTGACTGTTGTCATCGACAGCAGGAGGCAACAGCCTGTTCCAGCTCTGTTGTCATCCCTGTCTGAACTGCAGGTGAGCCCACAGTGGAAAATATGTAATTACCCCCAACACGCCCTGCGACCATACAGCCCTAAATCTCTTCGCTGTAATGCTATGTCTGCGTGAGTGGATCTCTTTTAGCTACACTTTTTTGTTTTGTTAACTTTATTTTATTTTTTCCTGTTTAGAGCACACCTTTACTGACTGATTGTACTCAATGCACGTCGAGATTTTTTAAACTTTCTGTGCAAAAAGTGAAGCCTCCAGGCTCTTGTAGAGAAGCCTGTGCTTACTTGTCTGTTTTTAACCACACGCTGTGAACCGGTCGGCTGCAGTCGACGCACCAGAGACATGTCATCATGTCGTTGTGTTGCGTTACTGTCTGATGTTAGACTGATACATCTGCAACAACACAACACGGAGATTAGAAGTGATTAAAAATCCTATTCTCACACAGCAGATGCTGAGCACATCTGTGTCATTTTTATTTTTTTTAAATAACATTTAATTATTTTATATAAAATACATTTAAATATTTGCATTTTTTCCCCAGGCTTTATTACCAAATGCACTTTACTCCATTATCTTTGTGCTGGACAAGGAGGCTTCAGCCAAACCTGAGAGAGACATGAATGTGCAGGTATGGATGATGAAGGAACAAATTATTATATCTCTGTTGCTAAAACCAGGATCTAAGTGAATTAAACACAACTATTCACTTTCAATTAATGCTAATCTGATCTGTTAAACCCAGTGAGAGCTTGAAGCAGTTGCTCTGCAGACACTGAGTCTGTTTTATTTCCTGCCACAGACCGAGACACTGTCATCTCTGAAGGCCCTCCACAAACACATGGACCAAACCCAGCTCACGCGGGAGCTGGAGGGAACCTTCCACTATGACCACAATCACTGGATCCACTTCAGACAGGTGGGTGTGACGCAGGCGTCTGCACTGTAGCCACTGCATTTGTAAAGAACCTAACACATTTGTTTTGCCACAGACTGTCTCTTCACACCTAACCCAAGTTCTCTATGTATTTAGTTCTGGGTGTAAAGTTTTGTCCACAACTTCCCTTTGGACTTATGCAACATGTGTCAGCATATGTGGCTCACATTTTAATGTCTACTGTATTTTTTATTGCTACTGTTTTTTCGGAAATAAAGATGGAGGGGTCGGTAACTTTGATGGTTTAAATGCATAAGCTTTATAAGCTGCACAATAAGCTGCACACAGATGAATATAAGTCACTTCATAATTATTGTTTGCTGGTTTGTGACATCAGTGAGATCTTGTGAAGCTGGAAAATAAGTGTGAGCCTCACTTTAACATGCTGTCAACATGGCGTCTCTGTACTACCTGTCAGGATTGATCTTTATTATCAATATTATTAAAATATTTCAACTCTGTTCCGTCTTTCTAGAAAGTTGAACCATTTGCCAGCAGCTGCAGCACAGCCATCCATTCCCTTCAGGAATCCATCAACACGTTGAGCAACAGTGGCAACATGAAGACCTCCCAGGTCAGTCTCAGACCATGTGTGCTGTCGGACCTTGTGATTTATGAACACACAGCAGTTCACAGCAGGGACAAACAACTGAGGAGTTCTTTCGTTATTGCTCTTTGTCATTTGTTCCAGGTAGATTTGGTTCATGTTTTACCTGGAGACGGGCTCAACACCAGTTTTTGAATGTCTGAGACCTTAACAGATTTTACATTCTGGAGTATCGGCTCATACCTGATCACTTTTTCAATTTGAAACCAAAATCTGTTTCTCCTTAAGTTAGCATAACAAAAAAAAGGTATTTATAGTTGAGTATCAGTGTGAAATAAGATACTTATGTAGCTTACTGCTTAATGAAAAAGTTATAGTGTAACAATGTAATGTTGCTTAAATATTTAGAAATTAACAGTGAGGTAGCATCATGTATGAGAACAGCTTACATGACACATGCTGCTGTAGCAGCTGCTTCTCTGTTTATACCATGTTGCACAAAGTTAAGTTGAGTGTTGAGAGAGTTTGTGGCTTTGAAAAGCCCATGCTATAGATCAGAGCTACAGTATATTTTACTTGTGCCTGTAGGAGGTTTCAGAGGTGATAGAACAACAGAGGCATCTGATGAAGTGTGTGTTAGACGACAGTCATCTGAACAGACTGCGTTTGGAGGGAGGGACCGTCCTCGCCCGGATCAGGAAGGAGGAGGCCTGTGAGAACGACATGTACAGGTGAAGGGAGAGAAGAGAAGAACTCAGTCAACTGAGTTGATAAAGATGCCATTTTTGTTTGACCCTGTTTTTCCTGCGGCTGTTTGTGTAGAGACACTGTAGACATGTTGAATGCACTCTACAACCAGGTGGATGAAGAAGTCCACAAGCTGGTCATCCTGTCCAACAAGAGTCAGAAACAGTTGGAGAGTCTGCTGGAGGTCTGCAGGTTTGAAGAGCAAACTCAACAGGTCAGACCACAGACTCTTCCTCACATTGTCATCTGTTTCTCTAACACAAAGTTCCAAACCAGTAATTTTATCTGCTCTCTCTCTCTTTCTCTCTTTTCCCCAGATCAAACTTTGGTTCAGTGTAGAAGCAGAGAAGCAGCTCGCACCTTTGGACTCTCTTACTCTGTCTACATCCAAGATCAAGGAGATGAGAGAGAGCTTGGAACAGTTTCTGAATGAGTCTGTGGTTGGTGTCATCATTTATTTATTTATTTATTTTATTTATTTAACATTTTTATGTTTAATTTTCTGAAAAATGTTTTGATGCTAAAATCAAGTCATTTTACAGCACCAGCAGAGACACGGTCTGCAGCTGGTGAAAGAGTCTCCAGACTCTCTTCCAGGCTCCGCTCTCCTGGACTTCAAGCAGCATCTGGGCTCAGTACTCGACAGAGTGGAGAAGAGAAAGGCCCAGCTGGACGTCCTGAGCAACCTGTATGAGTTCTACGACTCAGTGAGTATTTACAACAATATTTTCAAGATTCAAAGAACTTACGATTGGCTCCAGGGCTGCCATTTGATGATCACTGACTTAAAACATTACCTTTTTTTTTTTTGCTTAAGCACCTATTTATAATTGTTTAGATTTATTTATTTAATTATCTAAATATATATTTTACTATATATATTTGATTGTTCATAATAAAAACAAAAATCCAGAGAAAGTGAGACAACTATAACTACAGTCTCAGAAATCATTTATCGCAGGGTATTACATATATTACACATAATATATTTCTTTTCTTTCTTTTTTCATGAATGTCTCCAGCTTTAGAATTTAGACAAAAAAACTATTACGGCTTAAAACTGCACTGATGTACGGCTGTCGTCCTTTCTAACCTGTAGACAAACCAGTGGCTGAAACACTGTCAGGATTATTTCCTTCACGTCTGTCTGGACGATTCCGATGTAAGACTTTCACCGTCTGTGGTGCAGAATCTGCAGGATTACTACACTGAAGCCTCCAAGTTCTCTATGGACAACTTCAGCACTCTGAACGACATGGTGCAGTCCCTGGACAGTCCTCAGCAGCTGCAGCAGTGGAACACAGTGTGGCACCAATGTCAGAAAACCAAACAGCAGCTGGAAGAGACTTTGGCTGGAGCCATGATGCCACCATCGCAAGACTTCTCTGCTAAGGACAGTTCTCCGCAGACGTCAGAGAGTCAGTTTGGCTCAGCAGAACAATTGAATGGTAACAGTTGTTTGGTTTTATCTGAGGTCCTCACACCGTTGAGATTCGAGGACAATAAGCCTCATTCTGCTGGGCCTTTCACCAAAAGCCCGTCCAGGTCCATCTCCTCCTCCTCGCACTTCCCTTTCTCGCCAGACTGCGACAGCAAGCTGAGGCACAGTCCATCCTTGTTTGACGACACGGACAGCGACTGCACCATCGACTCCACCATCTCCTGCCACTCTGAGCCCGTCTACTTGGGAGCCGCACGTCTCCGCAAGCAGCCAATGAAGAAGATCATGAAGAAGACTATGAGCTACGAGCTGACGCCGCGCGACGGCGGTCACTCAGACGTTAGCCACATTCACGGCTACACCGGTGTTTTTATCAAGGGTTTGGAGGTGACGAACAACGTATCTGCAGAGAAGAAGCTGCAGAGACCCGATGTGACAAGTCCTGCGTTAGGACGCAGCCGCAGCCTCTCCACGCCCTCTCGCATTCACACCAGACACAGTGATGGAGATGGAAGGAAACAAAGCAGGTGAGGAAAGAAAATCACTGCATCTGTTTTAAACCACAGAGTCAATATAAGAAATGGCTGAGATGGCAGACTATGGTTGCAAAGAAAAAAGCTCAACATTTCTATGAAAGCACTCCTGTATAAACATTAGTAACATTAGTCATATGCACATGTTAACTTTGATGGCAATGGAATGTCATCCAGAAATACTCTGATCATTTTACCCCGTGTCACACATATTCATCAGTAAAGTGCAGCACATCATGGATGAGATGATCTCCACGGAGAGGGAGTATGTGCGCTCCCTCAGCTACATCATTGAGCACTATTTCCCTGAGATGGAGCGTCTGGACTTGCCGCAGGACTTGAGAGGGAAACGCAGCATCATTTTTGGAAATGTGGAGAAACTGTGGGACTTCCACAGTCAGTACTTCCTGAAGGAGCTGGAATCGTGCGCTCACTGCCCACTGTCCATCAGCAGCTGTTTTCTTCAACATGTGAGTCCACTGCCCTGAGGTGGCTCATTGACAGCTTAAAAACCTCACTCTTGTCAACATTGTGGTAATGATGTGTTTAGCTGCTGTTTAAAACAGGCTAATATGCTGTTCCAGCGGAGGCAGCATGGTTTGATCAAGAGCTGAATCATGCTCAGTGTTTGGCAGAGTTCTCTGAGACGTCGGCTTGTTTTCTCCCTGTCGTCAGTGTTGTGACTTGTTAACCTTGTGTGCAGGAGGATCAGTTTGGAATGTATGCCCTGTACAGCAAGAACAAGCCGCAGTCTGACGCTCTGCTGAGCAGCCACGGGAACGAATTCTTCAAGGTGCGTCTGAAAACTTTGGCCCTGCTTACATTCCTTACATGATGGAACGTCATTCTCATACATGTGTTTGAGAGTTCAGGAAGTGTCACAAACAGGAAGTGATTTTTATAGACTGGTTTATTTTCTTCTCATTAACTAGGAGGCTGTTTGACTGAAACGGAAACAAATATTTTTGTATGAAAACCCCCTTCAAACTGACACTGTCAACACATTAGATAAAATGAAAATAAATACATAAAGTGTCACCTTAAATCATCTTAACTTTAAACACAACTACACTTGGTGTCCACACTGGGTTAATGTTCTGTACAAAATAAATAAAGATATGGTAATAATGAAAGACTCACATCAGGCACAATTTGAATAACATGGAATAAAAAGACACTAATGGCTTTTTCTTCTTATTACTATATTGTGATGTCTGTGTGTCCAGAATAAGCAGGTGGAGCTGGGTGATAAGATGGATTTGGCGTCCTACCTGCTGAAGCCCATTCAGAGGATGAGTAAATATGCACTGCTGCTCAAAGACCTGATAAAAGAGTGTAGTCAGTCCCAGGAGCAGGAGCTGAGAGATCTACGCACCGCAGAGGAGCTGGTCAAATTCCAGCTCCGCCACGGCAATGACCTGCTGGCCATGGACGCCATCAGAGGCTGTGATGTAAGTGCAGTAGTAACACCAAGACCATGTGCTGCTTTAATGACTGTTTAAAAACCTTACGTAAGTTGAATAAGACAGAGGTCAGTGGACCATCCTTGGAGTGCAGAAGTCATCTTGTTATGTATACAGTAGCGTGAGGTCAGACCCTCGGTGGGCCTTGTATTGTTCTCTGTCACGAACGTAAACGCTCCTGTTTCCTCCTCAGGTGAACCTTAAAGAGCAGGGTCAGCTGCGCTGCCAGGATGAGTTTATAGTCTGGTGCGGACGCAGGAAATTCCTCCGTCACGTCTTCTTGTTTGAAGACCTCATCCTTTTCAGCAAGACCAAGAAGATCGAGGGAGGATATGACATTTATATCTACAAGCAGTCCTTCAAAGTAAGATTATTCTGTTCAGGAACGGCTCCTCGTCTGCCGCTGTCCGATTAGTGATAGTGCATTCATTTGTGTGTGTTTATGTCTTTGTTTAGACGGCAGAGATAGGAATGACTGAAAATGTTGGTGACAGCGGCCTGCGTTTTGAAATATGGTTCAGAAGGAGGAAGTCCCAGGATACGTTTATACTTCAAGCCAGCACAGCAGAGGTCAAAGCGGTCTGGACCGCCATCATTGGGAAGATCCTGTGGAGACAGGCACTCAGAAACAGAGGTGTGTCTATTGTTATGATGTAATCAGTGACAAGAAATTGTTAATTGTCAAAATTGTTAAATTGTGTTTTGTGTCTGTTGTATGCAATGAGCAGGAAGTCCATCGACTTCATGACTTGTTTCATACAGATTCAGCTATTTATCCCATGTTGACTGATGTACAGTAGGGTGTATTAAACCATGTTGAAGCTCAGCTCCAAATAACAAATGGCGCAGCACTGGATATTTTCTCCATGATGCCAACGAGATGCTAATAGGATAAATGCTGAGAAAAACTCACATCCACAGAAGTTTAGTTTCTGCATTATTTATTATTATTATTATTGTTGTTGTTGTTGTTATATGTTATATGTTGTATGAAACTAGCCTGCTAACTAAGGTGCATATTTTTCTTTCTAAATCTCTGACTTCAGAGTTGCGTATGCAGGAAATGGTTTCTATGGGGATTGGAAGTAAACCGTTCATGGACATCAAACCAAGTGAAGCAGCTATTAGTGACAGATCCATCGACTATATCATGAAGGGTTCAGGTGAGGATGGAAATAAAGTGTTAGAATGGTTGATTGATAGCCTATTGAGATTAAAATATTAAGATCACAGTCAGCAAATGGGGTAAAAAGACATCAGCTGTGTCTTCATGTTTCCACATCACAGATATCACCCTTCTGATTGTGAATTAACAAAGACCTAAAAGTCAATAATAACTCCCTCACAGCTCACTGTGAATCGTCTCTTCCACAGAGTCCAGGACCAGAGCCTCCATCGCCGTGTCCTCGTTTGAGCACTGTGCCTCCTTTAAGAGACCACACTCCACCATCTCCAACAGCAGCACCTCCTCCTCCAGCAGCCAGTCGTCCTCCTCGCTGCTGGGCTCACTCAACCTCCACCTGTGCTCCTCTACCTCCCACCCACATGCTCATCCATACTCCAGCGTCCCCTCCTTCGCCCAGTGGCCGTATGACTGCATAGAGGAGGATGAGCTGGAGCAGGACACTGGCAGCCAGCCCTCCATGAGTGAGTGTCCGTCTGTGTTGACAGGATGTCAGAAAAAAAATTTTATATACAGCCCCCAGAATTCTGCGGAAAAAGGAAAAAAAACTACAAAGAAAAAAACAAACCTGATTTTGCTGCTTTTCAACGTAATAGTCACTGTTTCTAAACACAGACAACAACAGCACATAACATGGTGTCTTATGGAATGTCCCGGAGGTAAAGTCTGTGTTTCTTCTCCTCCACTGGTCTTCAGTCACTGAGAGCTCAGAGACGTCCTCACGCTGTCCCTCCAGTGAAAGTGTAGCGGGACTCAGTACCAGCGCCATAGCAGGACACACAGCCCTGGTCCTGGACTCCTTCAACAACAACAACACTGAGCCTTCCTCCTTCCTCTGCTCCTCTTCACCTCCTTCTTCCAGAGCATCTCCTTCAATGTTCCAGAAAGAAGAAGACCTGCAGCCGCCGGGAACCAAGTTCATCACAGCAGTGAGTGTTTGACCTTTGTCTTTTTCTATGTTGCCTTGAGTTGAGTTAGGGACACATAATCAGTGCTGAGAGCAGAGATGCTGCTAGCAGTTATGAAAGGAATAACTGACTGAATATTTTGGCCAGCATCTTACAGTATTCTGATTTCACTCTTTGACTCGTTCACTTCTGTAAAGTCATTTTATTTTATCACATTTAAAAATCAGCTCAACTTCACAATACATCACACTTATTTTTCAAATCTATTGTTTTTACAAGAACCAACCATTCACCCCCTGGTGTTTGACGCAACATTTATGACGCAACATACATTAACCAGTAGGTTTGACAAACCTCTAACAAAAAACTACTAGCAGCGTGACTTCACATCATTCGTTACAGTTCCCCTGCTTCAGAAGTTCATGTGTCATTTTGTGATTTCTGTTCTTCATTTCCTTTTTTCGACTTAACATATATATATACAGTATATAGATTTTTTTATTATTTTTTTATCCCATCTGTATGAAACACTTTAGGGTAGATAGAGTTAATTTTAAAGTGTAAGAAAATCCAGTTCTTGGCTTCTGACTGATGCCTCTAGTCAGTAATGGTCTTTGTTAAAAAAACGAATAATGTAAAAATCGTGCAGTACGTTCTAAAGCTGGTCTGTAGATGCAGAGAAATCAAAGGGGAAGTGGTGAAAACTGTTGTATGAGTGGTGGCCCTTAAAGCTTATCTGCTGTTGTGTTTTTGCCAGAGCCAGACTTCACGTGTGGCAGTAGGCCTTTCTACTGTGGTCTGATCAGACGTGTGGGGGGGGGGGGATTTGGCTCAGTAAGTAACGGTGTCACAAGACTCTACATACATGTTGTTTCCTTTACAGACCTCACTAACATGTGTGAGGGGTTGATATCTGTGAACACTAATACGTGTGAAAAGTGCTTTGGAGCCCGCGCTCCAGTTCCTGTGCTGCATGACGGTGTATCCTGATGAGCCACGAGGCTGCTTTGTTTTGTCAGTGTGGGCCACGTCTTCACATTTGCCTCTGGGCTTTCTGCCTCTCTTTAAGAATTGAATCTATTTCCTAAATATTGCATGTTTTATGAATGTTTGCAGTGCACACATGCATGTTCCTGTACCTGGTGGTGTGGACAGAGTTTTATCATTTTGTTTGGTGTTTTGGGTTAAGGAGATGTTTTTGTGGTCCAAAACAGAGGGGAAGCTCAAAAGGAAATTTGTGAAAAATACCAAAGCTAATTTCATTGCATATCTTAAATTTACATCTTAACGCTTTAGGAAGTTTTTTTTTTTTTTTCAATTAGAGAAAAACTTGTTTGTGGAGAAATTTTTCAAACCTCCTCCTTTGCCTCGTCTAAGGATGGAAATGAAAAAAATGTTTAGAGAAAAAAGGAACCAAAATGACTAAATTTGATTCATAAAAGTTTGGTTGAAAATGTTCAGATGAATTCTCATTTTATGAAATAAAATGTAAGGCAGCTCAAATCTTGACAAAGCTGTTTGCCAAAATATTTGGCAAAATATATCTTAGCTTAGCTTCTACTTGGCTTAAATATTAGGCAGAAAATATTGCAACTGAATAAATTAAACATTAAGCCACTAAGTTAAAATGTATTTGAGGAAAAGTTAAATCTTCAGAATGTAGTATTAAAGTAACTCTAAAAAGATACATTAGCCAAGATATAGTCAAACATTTATTGAAATTCACAAGCTAGCTAACTGACAAGACAACAATGTGGTAGCTAATCCATGTTGTCCAGTGTTTACTAAAAATACTAAAAAACACTTCCATTGAAATGTTAAAAAAACCCTATAAAAATAAAAAATATATAAATTATGGACCAGAAAAATGCATTGTTTAAATTTTAAATGCTAACAGCATTTAAAATTTCTTTTTTGTGGATCTTTCCTTAATGTTGCATGGTGGTAAAGTTCAAATGTTTGGATAATATTTGTGATTACATTTTTTTAATAACCTCCTTTTTGTCACTTCCTTTCACAGCTGTGAGACCTTCAGACTCCTGGACGCCTCAGCCATTTGCATTTCAACACCATCGCAGCACTAAGACTCTAGAAAATAAATTTGATTTATGACATTTCAAGTATCTGACACACATTTTACATTGTCATGATGGTACGTCAGTGGTCTGTACATTTCCTTAATATGGACTAGCAACCTGTTTATAATGTAGATCAGTTGTTAAATGTTTATTTCTTTATTAAAAAAATAGGAGGCAGATTTAATGTTTTATTGTTGAGTTTTGTTTGTTGCCAGTTCTGACAGGTTTGTACATATGATTAAAAGCTTACAAAACATTCTCACTTCCTGTCTTATTTAGAATTCACCTTATTCACCTTAACATTTTATATCTACCCCTGAGACTGAACCCGTCAGAGGTTCTGAGGGTGCTTTTATGCATCACTTTTTTTTAAACAGATTTTCTCAATCTCTTACAATTCTTCACATGGAATTATTTTTCCACTGCTTTCTCCTGGCTGCACTTTGAAATCGCACACACACACATGCTCACATTGTTGTACCTGCCACCTTTATAGTGTGTGCTGGTGAATTTCTTCCCCCCAGATAAGCAGGCGGACGTGTGAAACCACACACTCGTGCAGGAAATTATATGAAAGGTGTGATACAGTGTGGTGAGAAGTGGGGTGTCTCCTATGCTGCTCACATTTATTTTAATACGTTTTGTGTTCTTACCCTGACCACAGCCTGTCCTGTTTAGCAGTGATGTCTGTTCAAAGCGCAGAGCTAACTGAAAACCAAATATGATTGACCTAAAAGAAATTTGACTGCAGGAATATATATGTATAATATCTTCTATATGAGCAGAATGGCATACAAATCAGTATGAAAGAATATCTGAAAATGCATTAACCAAATAGACAGATACAGAACAATTGGTCCAAATTTATTAGAGAAAATGCTAAAAGCTAGATAATAAAGCTTAAAAATTACAGAAAAAAATAAAGCATGTTTCTCAAAACTCAGATGAAAATTAACAATACAAAATGTACAGAAAAAGTACAGACATTAATGAGAAGAAATATGGGGACAATTCAAGGCGGTGAAAGTAGATAACCCGATGATAGCCGACAGTTAGATTCTTTTATTGGTGAAAGTAGATAACCCGATGATAGCCAACAGTTAGATTCTTAAAACGTTTATTTAATGAATTTGCCGGAGATTCTAACATAGAGCTAATTAAGAATCAATGGCAGAAATGACGAAAAGTGAGATAAGTAAGCTAATAGTTAGCATCGGTAATAACGAGAAAAGACCGGAAGACATTTGACCCAGATGAAGCTAAAGTATGGCAGAAATGTTTACAACAGCTCGCTAAAATAGGTAAATATTGAAACAAATTAAATTTAAACGTATAAGAAAACTGATACACTAAATGATAAGCAAAATACGTGCAAACAAGTATTGCTAAATATATATATATATATATATATATATGTCCCATGACAGTCATAAGATGTAAATTACTAAAAAAACAAGTATTGCTAAATATATATATATATGTCCCATGACGGTCATAAGATGTAAATTACTATGTAAATACTTCTAATAATAATGAAAGATAAATTGCAATTATTGTTTTTGTTTATAAGGCAAAAACAAATTAAAAAATGACTTCTGCTTTGGGGCTTTTATAACGTGCTTCATAATATGTCCCGAATAGTCTTGTAAAGTGTTGTCCCATTCAGTTGATTATGATCTGGTCAACCAACCAAAAAAAAAAAAAAGAGGAAGAAGAAGAAGGAAACAGCACAGAAATATTTCATAGAGGTTTGGAAGGATAGCTTATAGTTGAAGGTCAGAGTTTGTACATCCTCAATTGTGAAGCTTCCTGTAAGAGGTTAGATACATGTATGGTCATGGTGGTTAAACACTTTTCTGTTTTGAGAACCAAACACAGAGAAGTGCAGAAAAAAACACCTCCAACAGCATCACACAAAGTGCCAGCACTGTGATCTGTAAGAAAAACATAATCATTGTTTTTATCTAACATGTTCAAATGTTACTCAATATTTCAAGACTGGAAAAACAAAATCTCACCCATATCAAGGTCTCCGAGGAAGTTTTCGTTATAGTCAGGTCAAGGATTGTCAGACAGATTGCTATCAACGTTACACTGATGCAGCCACAGTTAACCCTCTGTGACATCTGCAACAAATGAAATTATTCATTATATCTCGTCGTGTCCAACAACCAACTCTGTATGATCTGTGAGTCATCAGAAACGTGTGTACCAACAGGCAACAATCTTGGATGTTTGGACAACAGCATGGAAAGAGCTCCCGCAAACATGAACTGTAAATAGAGAGGAGAAGAGAGCGCCTCGTGTAAATAAACTGAGTTCATTCTGAAAATGGATGTATTTTGTTTGGTTTTGTGTAACTTGGTTGTTCTCCATTGTCATCATTTATCACTTCACTGTCCTGTCTGAGCAGAAACGTACCATGACTCCCGTCAGCTGGGAAACTCTGAACAGACTTAAAAACGAGGCGTTTATTTCCTGGGACACAGCAAAGAGAATCCCGAGACCCACGCTGAAGAAACCACTTGCCATCTGCAGAGACTGACACAGGACAAACAGAGGGGTAGACAGTACAGTACTTGTTTAGGATGCTGCAAATATTCTACCATAGAAGAAGAAACACAATTATAAAACAAAACATGGTCGAAAATTATTATGAAGTATTGTAAAAAAAAAAAAAGAAATGTATCACACCTACAACAGAAGGTAAAATATTTCTAAGGTCCGACCTCAACTCTGGGGTCACATCTCAACTCTGGGGTCACATCTCCAAAACTTCTGCCTCAAACTGCCTCTATAGTTGTTTGTCTTTAGTTTGGATCTTACCCCCACCACACACGGTTGCTTCTTCATGAGGTCATGAAGTGGTTTCTTCGGGTCCATTACTATTGCATTAGCAAGGTACGTTGTCACCATCGGTGGTGCAGTTCGCTCTTTGCTGCGTTCTTCCTCATCTTCCTCATCAACACTACGTACACTCATGTCAGGTTTAGCACAGGCCATGTTCGCTGCCGTGATCTGGAAAGAGAGAGTTTTTTTTTCCTTCATTTAATATGGATTTTAATGAAGTTTATATAGATGAGGACAGAACAGTTGAGGACAAGTTGGGACCTAAAAATACCATCTCAACATTCAGGATGCATTTGTGGGGCTTTAACATAAAATAATGACAACAACTCTCATCAGAATTTAAAGCAAAATTTAGAGTTTTACTTTTGCATATTTTTCTTTACATTTTTCCCTGATTAATAACTGTTTTCTGAGTTTTGTCAAACCGTCTCCTTCCTGTGAACAATGTGAATGTGAATTGATTATGAATCTGTGAATCCTGTTCATTTTCTTTATTCGTCTGTTCTCTGCCTTTACATGTTGTAATCATCTTGAAGTTTTTGTCCACTTTATGTTTAAAGAATAGTTTTTAAATAGGTTTCCCATCATCGTACGGTTGAGAAACGAACAAAATCCAATGTAAAAACTTAACATTGATGTCATTTGAGTTTCAAGGTAATTTCCTCGTGAATAATCTTTTAAAGAGATGTAACTTTTATTTTACTCATGTCTCTAATCTATCATTAAATAAGTCCATTTACCAGTTGATGACTGAACCTGGTCCTTTCAGCCTCAAAGCCCTTCTTAGAAATTTCTGGTAGCACAATAATTATTAAAATTCACATTAAATGTTTTATTTCTGTACAAATTTCGTATGGAGATGTTAGAAAGAGGTTCTTACCGGGTTTTGATGTGAAGTGACTTCTTAATCTGCCTTCTTCACGAATGACTGGCTCATCAGAAAGTCAGTCACACTTCCCTGTAAATACTGTGGTCTTTTCACATACGAACTTCCTCACCCTGTCAGCGGTCTGTGCTCTGCACCCGTCTGCTCCACTCCACTTCACTTCACTTCACTCCACTTCACTTCACTCCATGAATTATCACTAGAAAGAGACAGAGGAGTTATATAGAAAAGGTGAGATGTTGTTTTTAATGTGTTCAACATATTGGTCTGTTAATATTCTCTGTCTGTGTGTGTGTTTGTGTTTGTGTGTGTGTGGCAATTTCCTCTTCAAACCTTTTCGGCCCATGCAGACGACTGATCACAGGTTCAGGTCAAACTTTTATCAGTGATCAGTCTGCTCTGCTCTGCTCTTTCTGTCTCGTTCACGCAGCAACATGAAGAAGACATTTGAATGCAATAACTCCATGGTCATCACTATTCCCATCCGGAATCTGAGGGATGGAGGAGGACATCTGGTGCAGGAGAATTTTACCTGCGTCTTCAAGGATTTCTACAAGGTCTTCGTCCACCGAGGGAAACCAAAGCATGTTGGAGTGAGTTTGATTTGAGCCTCGGAGACTTTGAGCCGAGCTGTTCTTTTAGTAGACACTAAACTCAAATCATTTCTCTTGATTTATTTCTGGGGGTTTTTCAACAGGCAGTTCAGGCTCTCATCGGTGTGTTTATTTGTGCTCTGGGTGCGCTGGGAAAGGTTCAAATGGCCACAGTTCTTCCCTGCATTGTGGTAAAAAAAAGTCTGTAACTGTAAACATTTATTTTGATATTTTTATTTAATTGTAAACCTGTTTTTTTATTGTAGTTCGTGATCACTGGTTTGATCTCCTTTGCGTCAGGAAGGACTTCGTACATGGTTGTGGTGAGAATGACAACTTTGAATACGTTTTGTTCTTTTGTTCTGTATATATTTTTTTATCTGACTTTGAAATTTGTTTGTGTTTATAAAAAAATGTTCTGCGTCTGTTTTTGTTCAAAAGAGAAAAATGAGAAACAGATTTATATAAAAATATGAAAAATATGATTTTGAAGGGACATTTTACATTTTTAAGATTTTTTATTTAGTGATATAATTATTATATATTATATTATTAACTATTATGGCATGTGATCATTCTTTGTTTTTGTTTTTTTTAACTATCTCCATTAACATTATATTTTATTTATTTTTAATTTTTTTCTCTCTCTTTGTCCTCATCTGTTTTCCAGGCGAAGCTGTCGTTCTTTCTGAATATCTTCAGCTTCTTTGGGTCATTTTGGCCAATTATTGGAATCATAACACAGTTTTTCAGATACCCTTTAAGACACCCAGAGATAGTAAGAAGGAAAATCTGTAAATGACAGACTTTCTCCCATATGTGCAGAATATTGTTTATTTACTTTAACAAGTGTCGGGTTTTTTTATTTTTTATTTTTATTTTTTATTTTTGCAGATAAAAGACGCAATATATATATTGATGCTAGTTCTGCTGGTTCTTGAAAATCTCTTCGCCCTCTTTCTGACCTACTGGACCAGCAAAGCTGTGTGCAGACAAGAGTTCAACACCTTGGTTTGAATTTTTAATTATTAGTATAAGTCTTACAGACCAATATAAAATAATAATATAATATCTTCTAGATATTGAACTTGTTTCTTTTTTATTATTATTGCAGCCAGTCATAATACTGAAACCTGAGAAGTGAAAGACGTCACAACGTCGTAGGTCGTTTCCACAGAAACACCACGTTACGGATGACGACGTCCTGATGGCGCAAAACAAAATGTAATCCGCGTTCCTATATCTGTGCAGTAAAAAAATGTTCTTATTGGAGAAAAAAAGGAAGAAAAAAAGCAATTGCCGTTGAAGTGTAATTTCTGTATAACGTATTCAGTTTTATCATGGAATTTAAGGCATTTGTGTTGTTTTTATTTTTACTGCGATTTGATTGTGTGGTATCTTGGCTAGATCTTTCTTGTAGAAAAGATTTCTTAGACTGTGTGCTAGAATAAAATCATAATAAATAAAAATTAACAACAAAAAGAAGCATATGTAATTTTGCAAAGCATTTTGAACATGACAAGGTAAAGCTTCACATAATTCTACTTGAAAACAAATTTTAATGATTACATTTTAATCGTTTTAATAACACGGGTTTTTTTCCCTCTTCGTAACATTTGAAGTCAGAAATGAAGCTTTAACTATTTCAGCCTGAGAAGTGAAAGCGTTGCCTCTGTTTGCTGAATAAATCTGACAGCATTTTATGATGACATTTAAAACAGACGGTTTATGTTTTTAATTGTGTCTAATCTTCTCTCAACTTATACAATATTATTATTGAAGATCACATGACTTCCTGTGCAGTGAGGCTCAGTCTTCCGGCTGTTTGCAACAATGATATTTAAAGATTGAAAATGTTGTGAACAAGTTTGGATTTTTTATGTGAATTAATTATCATACATTTTTTTAGTTTATGGATTTTTAATCTCTAAAACGTGAGATTAGATCTAAATAATCCACAGATTTAATATTACGTGTTGATGATGAAGTGTGTGGATTATTTAGAACTGGTCCTCACAGGAGTAAAAAATAACATTGTCATATTCAAAATAGATTTTGTAAATATGAATAAACCTTATATACATATATAAAATCAGTATATTCTCTCTAATGAAATGTAGCAATCGATTAAGTGACATAAATAATGACTTAAAAGTTTAGAGAATGGGGAGTTGCTGTGCTTCTTTTAATTAATTAATTAATTAATCAATTAAATATACAGTGAAGTTTCATTGGAGTAACTTGTTTTGTCAAAACATTCTCCCACAATACGGGTGGTGTCGTGTAGGCTAAACTTTTGAGCACAAGAGGGAGACAAACACAAATAAATGGAGGGGAAGGCAGAATTGACCTTGGAAGGAAGACAATCACAGTATTATTTTTTTTACTGTTGTAAAAGATGCATCTATTCGAAACAAGGAAACATTAGATGTCGGCTACCGGCGATCTAGGCCAAGGTCATGTACACACGAGGCAGAGTGTATGTGCATCTGACAACAGCGTGTTTTTTAGTTTTAATTATTTAGTTTACTCCTGTTTATCACGTTACAGCACCAATCAATAACAGTAGGACAGTTGTCCCACTGCCCGCTGTAAACACGGCAATACCGCCATACTGAATGAATTCGTAACGACTCATTTGTAAATAAACTTGACAAAGACTTAGAAAAAGAGACAATTTTAAAAGTCGAAAAGTCAATAAAATGCGCGGGCTGTTTCTTTTCGGTTTGTTTTTATATCTGATTGCTTGTTTCTCTCATGAGATCTGGCAACACTGGTTTTCAGGACCGAGTGGCCTAGAAATCACGCTAAAAAGCTCTGCAAATTGAACCCAAAGAATAAAACATAATGGCAATGTTTTGCAATGTACCATTCAATATATAAGCAATGACCAGGTTAGAGTAAACTGGCTTTAAAAGTACACTTTTTGACAATTGAAGACGTTTTTGTTTATTCAAAAAACCTTTGACTCAGTAATAGCTCCCCAAAGCTAATTTAGACTTTTTTTTTTTTTTGTTATGTGTGAATTTCCAACTATTCCGGCTTTCCTGTTTTGTAGAATTTGCCTAGACAAACCAGAGGAGGGCATTTAGACCTAGCGGCTGTGGGACACTCCCAAAAAAGCACACACACACACACCAATCAAAACCATCCGCTAGAATCACACAATGGTCTGAACTGCTGCTCAGCTCAGCTGGATGTGTGGGGTTTTTTACAGTGTTTTACAGCAACTGCTGCCTGACTGGTTGTCTGTAGCAGTGTTTGCTGCCGACTGTAGACAGTCAGTCAGTCACTGCTGCTTCTCCTACTATGGCGTCCGTGTTTAGCGGATCGCACACGCTGAGCAAGGATGACGTGAACTACAGGATGCATTTCCGAATGATCAACGAGCAGCAAGTGGAAGATATCACCATCGAGTTCTTTTACAGGCCACACACCATCACGCTGCTGACATGCACGGTGCTCAGCCTCATGTACTTCGCCTTCACTCGGTGAGTGAGCCGCAGTGAGCTAACTGCTGCGTTAGCTGCCCTGTTAGCCTGCAGAGCTAACGCAGCAGCAGACAGTGATGCTCTGACCCTTGGCTGGCTTTAATCAGTCACTCTCACTGATTACTTTACACCAACACACCTCGAGCACTCTCTCTGTCTGTACGTACTCCCCAGTGTTGGTGATCTGAGCAACACTGGGTAAATTTCAGCTTAAGTGTTTGTTTTTGGTTTGGTAATGTCACTCCAGTGTTGACCTCTGCTTCCTCTGACATTAGCTAACACCTGATGTTTTCTCCTTCTCCTTTTTGCCTTTGCTCAACCTAACACATTGATTACAGTCTAAAATAAACCAAGTTATTGTCAAAACTGTAAAGTAATTTACCCAGAATCTGACATATAGATTAAATAATTAAGGGTTTGTAGTTTTTATTGTGTTTCAGGTCATATTTTAAAATAAGAACATATTCGATAGATTGAACTTTATAAATTGAACTTCTTTTTCAAAATAATTAAACCAATAATTTTTTACAATTAAAAACCTCATACCCCACGAGTTTTTATTAGTGTGCAAACGTGATCTTGTATTTTATTTGAATAGGTTTTTTTTAGAAGGAGGTCACTGCTCTTTTGCTCCATCATTGTAGGAATCCTTGACCTGAAAAAAGCTGCACTTTTAGCTGTGAAGACGATCAATAGCATGAAAGATTTAAGGCATCCACCTCGTGACCCTCTCGTCCAAACCACTGGTCACTGACAGCATGACTGGCTAAAGAGGAGTTTCTTTTTTGCAGCTAATTCGCTAGCGATGTTCATCCCTGACAACAATGGGACGTTGTTCAGTGACACACAGTGCTACTGGCTGAGTACGACTTGTTTACAACTACATTTGTGCCTCAAATAATATAACAGTCATGACAAGAAACACAATGGTTGTTTAAGTTTTACCATCAGGTCTTGTCCTGGCCCTTTATTCTAATCACAACACTGAGCTGCAACTGCTGATCATTTCATCGTGTATAATGTTATCTGAACCTTATGATAATGATTTCATAGTGCTGTAGTTTTTCAGGTGAAGGTGAAACAGATTTTCTGTTGCTTCATAGCATCAGTTCATTGGCATTCACTTTAAATCAGTATTTACTACTAGTATGTACTAGTATTTGCTACAAAAGCAGCTGCTGACACTTTAGTTTTATCATTGCCAAGAACAGGAAAAAAAACCCCAAACGTGCCTACACTCTTCTCTTTAAAAAAAAGAAAAGAAAAAAGAAATAAAATAAATCAAAGGCAGGGGGCAGTGTTCTTGCGAATGAACCTACGACCAAACACTTCTGGTGGTTCTCAGAAAAGACAGTGTTCTTCCTTCAATGTCTACATTCAAATCAAAATAACTATTATATTTTGCTCGCTGTCAGATAATGAGTGTCATGTGAGTCACATTAGCCCAGCAGTGGGGCTGACGAGTGCATGTTTCTAATGTCTGTGTGTGTGTGTGTGTGTGTGCTCTCCTGCTGCAGAGACGATGGAAACCCTGACAGTAACGTTTGGGTGGGACTCATCCTGGTCATCTCTTTCTTCCTCATCATCAGTGTGTTGGCATTTCCTAACGGTAGGCTGCCAAAAAACCTTCTCGTAGTTGTTTAACAAACTCAGAAGTTGACACCACTACTTTACTGTACAATGGAATATTTTGGGGTTGATGTAATTTTAAGCAGTGACACATTATTTAAACATTCACCCAATCACTAAATATGTTTATATTTCTTGTATAATCCTAACATGAAAACCACTTTAGTTTTTGGCACAGTTCATTTGTTAAGGTTTATGAGACAAACAGTGGAAAAGTGGTTCATTTTCTTGCCTTACAGCAAGTTTGCATATTTTCCCCATGTGTGTTTTCACTAAGTTCTCAGGTTTTCCCTCCACAGTGCAAAAAGTTACAGGATAAGGTTAATTCTAAGTTGCTCATGGTTGTTGGACTGGTGACTTGACCTTTTGTGTGACCTCTCCTTGTGACCCTGAGAAGTCTGAAGCATAGAAGTTGAATAAATGATTTTAAAAAAACATTGTTGGTTGAAGATGTTTCATATAGTGTCATAACATTAATATGTTATTTTTTTAATTACAGGCCCCTTCACCAGACCACATCCAGCAATATGGCGGATAGTTTTTGGTAAATGAATCCTGAGTCCTCCAGTTCACACACACAGTTTGTTAGTGTTGGTGGCGTGACCTTAAACGCCACTGTTTCTGCTACAACAGGTCTGAGTGTTCTCTACTTCCTGTTCCTGGTTTTCATCATCTTCCTCAACTGGCAGCAAGTGAAGCACCTCATGTTTTGGTTGGACTCAAACCTGCGTCATGCCAAAAGAGAAGCAGACGTCATGGTGGATTTGTTTGTCTGTTTGTTTTCACCTGCACCAACTCTCTTTACTCCTGCTCTGAACTGGGCTTTTTTTCTGCTGCTGTGTTTCAGGAGTACGCTGTGAACTGTCATGTCCTCACCTGGGAGAGAATCCTGAGCCATTTTGACATCTTTGCATTCAGTCATTTTTGGGGCTGGGGTATGAAGGCCCTGCTCATCAGAAGTTATGGACTGTGCTGGACCATCAGTATTACCTGGGAGCTCACTGAGGTACAGAGACACATCAGCCCACCAGTGTCTGCGCAGTGTCTTTCTTCCTCGTTGTCTCACTCAGGCACTGGTTCATCTGATGACATTGAACTCTGGTATTTTACCCCTTTTTCCCCCAAACCTAGATGTTTAGTGCCCTGTTGTTCCTCTGTTTCCGTAGCTCTTCTTCATGCATCTCTTGCCTAACTTTGCCGAGTGCTGGTGGGACCAAGTGATTCTGGATATTCTGCTGTGTAACGGAGGAGGCATCTGGCTTGGCATGACCGTGTGTCGCTTTTTGGAGATGAGGACCTATCACTGGGCCAGTATCAAGTATGGAACTGTTTACCAATGATTTAGCACTTGTTTTTCACTGTTTTAGTCTTTCTTTAGCCCATTTTATCTTAGAAAAATATTCATGTTGTCACATGACGTACCGTTATATAAACAGTATTTGTTGAGTTATAAATATAACGTTTTGTCTCCTTTTGGCCTGGGCAGCTACATTTTTACTAGTTTTTTACTAGTCCTTTTTTGTTTTCATAGAAAATGTTTTACAGTAACTCCTTTGTTTATTACTTAAAAGTGGTACTAGCACACTAAACACCCACACCACATTAATGTTTGTGAGAAATTGATATTGAATACATTTGTTTAATGATCAGATAAAAAAAGAGAATTTTAAAGTGAAAAAAAAAATCTGGGTAGAACAATACATTCAGTCAGACATAAAATAAGTATAGAAAACCCTGAACATATTCCCCAATGAGAAACAAAGAAATGGATATAATATCATTTCCACACATTTATTTTGTAATGCTGTAACTTTATGACAAATATTTATCTCCAACAAGTGGATCGTGGCGTATCATTTGACTCGTTTTTGTAATCCCAAATCCCCTCTTCTCCTCCAGGGACATCCACACCACCACAGGGAAGATCAAACGAGCCGTCCTACAGTTCACCCCTGCGAGCTGGACCTACGTACGTTGGCTTGACCCAAAATCCTCCCTGCAGCGAGTGGCGGGCGTCTATCTGTTCATGATCATCTGGCAGGTGGGTCTAAAAAGAAATCCTTCCTCACCGTCTCATCGTGACTAAGTGCTGTCTAGTCCAGGATTATCCGATATGCTCGGTGTGCTAAGTCCCGGCTAATCCAATTATCACATTCAGTGGTGAAATCTAAAACCAAAGCGATCTTACGAGCATCCATACCATGAATGTGCATCCCGTCACAGTAACAGCTGTAACAGTAACAGAGTCTGTAGGAGTGGAAGAATGAATTACAGAGCAGCATGTTAGGGTAATGAGAACACCATGCATACGAACCTGAGTGAGAGCCACTGTACTGTTGTGGAGAGTCACTGTCTGTGCTGATGAAATCTGGTGTAACTGTTATGGTACAGTGATGAAACAACGTCACCACTCCCGCTGTGTCACTTAAGGACATTGAAAATCTCTCTGGGATTGACAGACGAATCACTTAGTCCTGGAAAACTGTATGGTCAGTACTTATGTCCACGTACTGTCCACGTACTGTGTGTATTATTACTAAATAGGACATATACAATTATAGGTTATCATCTTGATGTCAGCCATGAGCACCAGATAATTATCATACATCCCTGATGTTCCCACTTCAGGTTGACCTTCACTGCATCTGCCTGTAATAAAGCACTAATAAAATCTTATTACCAGCTGTGTGACTTCACACCACAGGTGTGACAGATAAAGCAGGGCCTGGTCCACGTAGCTGCAGTCTGGCTGGTTCTACTGCCGCGTGTTCTTGAACCAGAACTATCATTAAAAGTTATTTTCTACAGCTGTACCTTTATTTCTAACATCAACATGTCTGCAGAGGAGAAGATCGAACATGTGTTCCCTGATAAAA